CCTCCTAATGGCCCTGGTTGACATAAAGGCTGCTCTGTTAAGGGGGGGTCACTAGTAACTTTCACACCCATATGGCTATTGACCTGCTGCCTTTTCCCAGAGGCAGCTGCATCTCAGTGCTGAGCGAGCCATGCCCGTGCGGCGTTGCTGTGCGGCTGTTACCAAGCTGCCCTGCCCCAGAGGTGGCTGCATCTTAGCACCACGTGTCATGATCCATCCCCATCCATCCTCACTGTGTGGTTCTTACCCAGCTGCCATCCATCAGCAAACGGGGTCAAAACTCTGTTGCAGGGTTGATCCAATAACCCTCCTTTCTCCTTTTCAGTCACCCGCCCTGTTTGGGCTCCCACGTACATCATAGGACCTACAGTTGCGCTTGTCCTGTTGCTGCTGGTGGGGCTGGTCGGCGTCATAGCTTGGAGGTATTTGCGCTTTGGCAAACTGGTAATATCCACGTCTCTGATCTCTGGCAATCCCCATCTCCTCCCGCCGGCCTTTGCCGGAGAACCCCGCGCAATCCAGGGCTGAGAATTGCAGAGCCAGTTCAGATGCATGGAAACCCAGTTGGGGGGAGGTGATTGAATGGTGGTGGTTGGGTCCCACACAGATACCTGGCACCCGCGAGGGGCCTGGGAAGTGCTGGGCGGTCTCCTGGTTAAACGGCTGGGCTGGGCGTCAGCAGAGCCGGGGACAAGCCCAGGCAGGAGGTTCTATTTTGTGGGAGCCTTTGTCCTGTTCCTTCGCCCCCCGAACCGAAGCAGACGATGTTTTGCCTCTGAGCTGTTGGTCTCCTTTATTTGTAGGAAGAGGCGGAGCAAACGCCAGGGAATGAGCAGCAATCCGGTAAGTGCGTCTATGGGGCTGGGAGCCAGGACTCCTGGGTTCTCTCCCTAGCTCTGCTGCTGATTTATGGCATGACTTTAGATGAGCTCTGTCCCTCAGTTTACCTCTCCATAGAACAGGATTATAAAATTCCCCCCTTGTCCCCCCCCCAAGCAGGACAGAAGGTCTTTCCAATCCCCTGGGTAGTTTATCTGGGGGGGAGGGACTATGTGCAGTTTCCTTTGTTATTACACATCACCGAGCAGTCCCAGAGCAGTGGCTCGCGGCCTCACTTCTGCCTGTCTTGCAGCACCCGCCGGGCCCGGGGGAGACCCCGATGTCTGATCGCATCTATGAGAACACCCAGCACTATGGCATGGGGAAGCCAGCCCGCCTGGCCCCACCCGGGGCCCCCAGGTAACAGCAGGGCCTGGCTGTGAGCTACTGTGCAGGGGCTGGGTGTGGGGCGGTGGCCACACGTTGGGAGAATGTTGCCAAGGGTGAGCTTGATACAGCTACTGCTGGGTGTGTGTGTGGGTCGGGGGGGGACCCCTGCTGGAGCGATGAGCCCTGGTTCGGGGCAGGGGCTGGATTGGAGCCAGCACTCTCTAGACAGGAGTCCACAAACATTTTCTGTCACGCCCTCCCTGACCCATAATGGAATCTGTCCACGCCCAGATTGTGGGGGGGGGGATAGCTCAGTGGTTTGAGCATTGACCTGCTAAA